TGACCCCCAGCCCCACCTGACCGAAATCGATCGATCCTTAAATCAGACTCGTTTATTTGAACATGGGAAAATTCATCTCCAAGAATTGGAATTACTGCTACAGAAGCAAATGAAGTGTGCCTGCGCTTATTGCTGTCGAATGGAGAGATACGTACTAAACGGTGTGCACCAACTTCTGCTTTCGCATATCCAAATGCATACTCCCCGTCAACTCTTATTGTAGCTCTCTAATACACGAAAAATGAACATCATAACACAGGAAATAGGTAAAAAGATTCAATAATTTTCAAAAACAGGTCAAGGTATGTAATAATAGAAGTGATTCACCTCAATTTTTTTAAATGCACATCTTGTAACATTGTCCAGCAGTGTATGTCTATTTAGCAATGAAGATATACGGCATGTCTATCGTATCGTGTATAAATTTATCATATGATAATTTTTGTATCACGACTAATACTAAGGCCTCGTTTGGTTGTCAAGATAAAATTAGCCAAGATAATATTAAATAATCTAATGAAAACCCAACTGTTTTATTGGAAGGTCCAACAAAAAAGCTCACTAAAAGGCATGATAAGACATGATAACATAATATTGATGGGTCGACCCGGGAAGTTATTGGGTTTACCAAACATCAAACAAAGTTCAATTATTTAGTTAATCATGGCTAATCTCCCCAACAAACGAAGCCTAAAGCCTTGTTTGAGAATTATGATTATGCTGATAAACAATATAATCAAGTTTTGTCGATATTTGGGTTTAGGTTTCAGCCCATGATTAAACAAAACGAGCCTGGGTTTTGATCGAGCGTATTAAGGATATCTAGTCCAAACTCAACCCCTATTATTAAACAACCCTGTGAAGGATATTACCCAATATAAGAATTGTATAATCACAAATTCCAAACATGAGGTAGTTACATAATAAAATTATCACGGTCTTAACAAATTCAATCAATCTTATCAATCCCATCAACATTCTCAAACGAGGACAAAGGATACCAAGAATCGAGAGCCAACACTAAGGAGACTTGTTGTTTGGGCAGAAGCATGTATATGTGTTCACACACACACTTCTCATGATCGAAATTATCAGTAAAAAACAAAAGAAAAAAAAAGAAACGGGCTTTTAAGAACATGTACCTTGATTCCTGCCAACTCACCAGGCATTTCATCTACAATGGTAACCCGAAAGCCACGACCTTCAGCCCACTTTTTGTACATCTGCATGACCATTGAAGCCCAGTCCATACTCTCAGTACCACCAGCTCCAGCTTGAACCTATAGTTGGTCGCAAAAAAGTGGTATGAACAAATAGGTAGACTGAAATGAAACCCCATCAAGAATTTGTAGTTTTTATCCAACGCTAAGCAAAGGATAAATACAATATATATATATATATATATATATATATATATATATATATATATATATATATATATATAGTGGACTGAGATTTGTAATGTATAATTCACCTCTATGAAGCAGGAGCAAGGGTCTTGCTCCCCAGATAACAACGCTTCGAGCTCTTTTTCTTTGAGGTGTCTTCTTAGTGTAAGTAAAGCTTCCAACGATTCCTGAAATTTGACGAAAGTTTAGATTATCCCATATAAAAACAAAACACATGTGAACATATTATAGAGATTGCGGATCAAAGAGATGTTTCCTTGTCTCCCGTCAACTTGAAACTCACAAGATCAACGGCTTAGAATGTTACTTCCATATGTGACTGTATTTAAGAAAAAAAATAGATCATGACGGAAGTTTTAAAGCTTCATAACCATGAAGAACGCAATTTTGCTGACTTGTGACAAGTATTACCATTACCATATATCATATACTTTACTGCACATTAGATTGTTACCAAAACATATTAACAATGTATACCCTTCTTAAGAAATATCTCCATACATTCAGGCCTTATTATTAACGAAACCCTCATTAGAAGGTGGAAACTCTATTTTAGAAATTACACATTTCCATTTCAACAGTTGTTTTCGAGATTTTACCAAACATAGGGGAAAAGTCTAGAAATTCCATTATTAGAAGTCAAGAAATATATATAAATAGAACAGCATCACACTATCCTGGAGTACGACTAATGCAAAAGCACTTGAAAATAGGAAGACGTGCCTAGAAAGAGAAAATTTGGGGGGCCCACCGATTCCAATTCAGCGTCGTTCTCTTCACGAGAAAGCTTTATCATATCAATATGTTCAAATAGCTGTTGCTCGAAAGCATTAACCTCCTTCATTTTCCCCATAATTGAACCGTGCTCGCGGCTTATCTTTCCAGCATGTCCGGGGTCGTTCCATAGGTCAGGCTTATTCAACTGCTCTGATAATATCTCCAGCTTAGGAATCAACTTTTTCCACTGCACCCAAAAAATAAAGAGAAAATCAATTGTCATTAAGAACCTATACTTAACTGATAACATTAACTTAGATCAGTACAAAACCACACATAAAGCCAATGTCAAATACTTAAACTACTTAAATATCTTTAGTGTTTCATTTTCCGCCACGCCACTCTAACAAGCAAAGCAGAAGTTTCTGCCATAACACGGTGAAATTTCAAATCTACATCTATTTCGGAGCCGTAAAGCTCTTATACCCTACTCTTCCATTGCATACATTCATTCATTCATAATTACGTACTATTAGAAAATTCTATAGATGTATATAAAGCAAATCGTACTTTTTTTATTAAGAGAGGAAGAACACGACAACAGCTTGGCATTCCAAGAAAATTAAACTCCACTAATCAAAAAACCACAAAAGCACTGCAACAACTTACACATTCCCAAATAATCAAACTTTCAATCGTCAACAAAGACAGACGGGGCATTTCGGCAAATATCGTACACGCATATATACAAAACCAATAACAATTATGATCCATAACATTTTGTGAAACTAAAAATCTACGAAACATCAATTAAATCCGATCACACAGGGTAAGATATTCGAATCAGGAAAACGTACTCGAAGACGTTTCTTGATCAAGTGAATTGACTGAGCAATGGAAGAGGCGTGGCTCTTCCAATCACTCTCTTCTTCTTCATAAATAACCCAACCATTTGCAATAATTCCTTCCACCGTCAGCCCATCGGAATTGGATGCCTCAACAGCAGCTTGTGAGCTCCATAAACGTAATCCACATCGAAACCTCCAATTTTCATCGTAATACGAAGGAAAACCCTTGTGTTTCTCGACCAAAGATGTATCTGAAACTGATTGATTATGAATTGGAATCGAGAACTTGCGAAAATGGGGATTGGAGAAAGATGGGAATAATCGGTTGAATAAACGGATTCGGAGGGTGGGATTGTGGATTGAATTGCTACTGCGTAATCTTTTCAGAATCAGAGATGACATTTTTTCGAATGATTTTTATGCAATTGATCATGAAATCATTTTGGGTGTGGAATTTGGGATGGTTTGAGGTTCAGGAAGGGTTTATGGCAGTTGCAGAATTGGGCAGAATAGGGCAAAATGTTGTAATGGAATTTAAATTCGGGAACAAATTCAATTTTCATCCCTCAAGTTTGCACTGATTTCACATACGGTCCCATATGCTTATAAAAACACATTTGGTCCCTCGTGTTTCAAAAATTCAACACTTTTAACCCTTTTCGTTAATTTTCTGTTAATCAAGTTTGTGCCATTTACTGCCTTAACTGACGGACTAACGGTAAATTGACGGAAATGACAAAAAATGTTGAACTATTGATACATGAAGAACAAAATGTGTTTTTCGTGAATATGGAGAACCAAATGCGAAATCGATGCAAAATTAAGGGATGCAAAACTGTATTTTTTTTGTTTAAATTCCGATATATATTCGCAAATTGAATGACAAATTGATTTTTCTATTTGCCAAGGAATTGTAAATCGTAAAAAAACAAATATATTCAAGATTATTAAAATAGAAATACACACACATACATAGACAATGATATTATTATAAGTAACAAAACATCTTTTTTCTCATTAAAAAAAAAAAAAAAAAAAACATCAAAATTTTATATTTTGTATTTGAATTATGTAAGGAAATATTTATATATTAAGACTCTAATCTAATATATAAATTTATATACATACATATATATGTTTTAATAATTTCCAAGAACTATAATTGCGATGAGTGGCAGTTCAATTATTACTTGGTGAGTTTCATTTATGTAATTATTTGGTTAGTGGAAATTATGTAATTACTTGGTGCGTGACAATTATATAATTACTGTAAAATGCAGTCGTATAATTATTTGTTGAGTGACGGTTTTGTAATTACTTATTGAGTGTCAATTCTGTGTTATGCCATTGTTAGTGCCAAGACCCTAGAATAGTGAACATCAAGTGAAGAGCCACCCTCCGGGAACGTCGAATTACTTAATGAGTGTCAGATATGTAATTATTGTCTGTGTGTATATGTGTATACATATATGTGTGTTAAAAATGTGAGTATGAGTTGTGTGAAAAGTGTGTGAGCGTGAAAAGTGTCTTAGAGTGTGCGCGTCAAAAGTGTGTATGAGTGTATATGTGTGTCAAATGTGTGGGTGGGTATGTTTGTGAAAATGTGTTGGAATGTGTATGTGAGCGGCCCTAAATATGTGTTAGTGTGCAAGTTAAATATAATAGAATTAGAATTACATAAATTAAGATATTATGAAATGTATCAATGTGGATCATATCTAAAACGGTCCAAATCCGATTCACTTTGAATTCGTTCATTGATTTTTGTTACAATTCTTTTTTAATTCGATCCACATGGATCCGCACCGGATCCAGTCCAAGTTGAGTAAAATTGCCTCCCCTAAATACGATGGAGTAACTCTTTTTTTTTACGAACATGGACAACCAAATGTAAAATCTAGGTAAACTTCAGGGACGAAAATGTAATTTTCACAAACAATTTCAGAAAACAATCAAAAGAAAAAACAGCAGCAGCTAAAACGGGAAGCGCAAACGGCAAAACCCCAACGCCGCCAGCGATTGAAGAACAATCAAAAACCTCCCCACCTTCATCACTCACTGCAAATGCCGGCGACGATTTTCTCCTAATTCCCGCCGGAATAAAAAGAAAATCGGAATCAATTTCCAATCATGCCCCTACCCACCCCACCCTCCCGCCTCACTATCTTCACCCTCCTCTCCGCCACAGCCACCATCTACTTCCTCTACAAGTCGCGCCACCGCCAGCGCAAGCTCCTCACGCGCCTCCGTCAGGTCCTCACAAAGCCGCAGTCGGGAAACCCTAACCCCGCCACTCCTCCGAAGAGAGGCAAACTGTTCTTCCTATCCGAAACCAACACCTCCAAACGTCTGGCGCAGCGCCTCCACGAGCTCCTAACCCTCAACGGCCTGTCGTTCGATCTCGTCGATCCTAAAGACTACGAGCCGGAGGATTTATGCAGAGAAACCCTTGTTTTGATCGTTGCTTCCACCTGGGAAAACGGTGGCGCCCCTGGAAATGGGGCATTTCTGGTGAATTGGTTGGCCGAGAGCGCGGAAGATTTTAGGGTTGGGGCGCTTGTGCTGAAGGAATGCAGATACGCTGTTTTTGGGGTTGGGAGTAGGAGTTATGGGGAGACTTACAATGCCGTGGCGAGGGGCGTTTCGGTAAAGTTGCGGAAGCTTGGGGCTGGTGAGCTGGTGGAGTTGGGGGAGGGGGATGTGGATGAAGGAGATTTGGATGAGATTTTTGATCAATGGAGTAAGAAAGTTGTTGGGGTTTTGAATGGTAATTTAGGCGAAAATGAGGGGCCTTCTGATAATTGTGAGGTTGCGAGTGAAAGTGAAGGTGAAGAAGGTGAGTATAGTGAGGAAGATGATGAAGATGAGGAGGTTGAAGAGAATGGCGTTGTTGATCTCGAGGACATTGCTGGAAAAGGGCCTTCTAGAAAATCAGGGGCCGTAGTTAAGGCTAATGGAAAAGTGAATGGACAGGTGTCAAATGGGGTGAAAGAAATGGTGACGCCAGTCATACGGGCGAATTTAGAGAAACAGGTACAACGTGTTGACTAATTCAGATAGCTTAGCAACTCTATGTTCTTTTTATATGTCATTTATATTGAATTGGAGTTGATGGTGTAAATGCAATAAGGTTTGTGTGTAATGGTGATCGTAAAAATAATTAGCGGTTAGCATATTATTGCCTTGATATCTTATTGAACTCTAAAGTGTAATCTTCTTATATTCCTCTATGCGAGATCATTGAAATTATGTCATGTTCTGTTTGTTCCCTTCTTTATTTTTCTCGTGTCAGGAAAAATCAGATAGTTTAATGCCAAAAAAAATTACGGGGAACTGAATGGGATTTAACTTAGAAACCAGACAACTTAGTAGTTTTTAGTTCCCTATTTCTATGCCGACGCTTTATGTATTATGGTTGTTTCTTGCACCGTACTTATATTCCATAGGCAATTTTTGTTAACTAGCTGATGTTTTTGACAGGGCTATAAAATCATTGGCTCTCACAGTGGGGTTAAAATCTGTAGATGGACCAAGTCTCAGCTTAGAGGGCGTGGAGGTTGTTATAAGCACTCATTTTATGGCATTGAGAGCCACAGGTATAAGTTATCTTGCTTGTGTTATAGGCTTATATCATAAAACATCGAGTAACTCTGTAATTTTGGTGAGTATTTGTATGTTCTGATGTTAAGTTCTTTATCGTTACTATTGATCACCAGTAAGGTTACAGCTATTTGATTTGCAAATGTACTTTTATTTGTTCATTTTTTCAGTCGAAAAAAAATTTAGTTAATAGGTCTATTTACTCTGGAAAAGAGTTGTGGCATTACATACAGCTCTTATTTAAGTCAGAGTAGTTGTACAAATAGGTGGCACCTGTATCTTTGTCTGATATATAACCCTCTTGGCTTTTTATTATTTTAACAATAAAATTAAAATATCTTTTTTCTCCATTTTCAACCTGGATTACCTTGCACTTCTGTAGGTGCATGGAGGCAACCCCAAGTTTAGCATGTGCCAACAAATGTGTGTTTTGTTGGAGACATCACACAAATCCAGTGGGGAAAAATTGGCAGTGGAAGATGGATGATCCACTGGTCATCGTCGACACTGCAATTGATTTACATACAAAAATGATTAAGCAGATGAAAGGAGTTCCAGGTATTTTTGATAAGTTCGTTTTGAAGCACCAATTGCTTTCAACAAAATCTTTCAATTTCGTATTATACTTTTCAACTGAAATTAGTTTTTTTTTTTTTTTTTTTTTTAATATTTATTTTTTCTGCTCATTATTCATGTTTTTTCACAATTATGCAGGGGTAAAAGCAGAGCTTTTAGCAGAGGGTCTTTCTCCTAGACATTGTGCCTTGTCACTTGTCGGTGAACCTATCATGTACCCGGAGATCAATTCTCTTGTAGATGAGCTACACAAGAGGCGAATCTCAACTTTTCTCGTGACAAATGCACAGTTCCCTGATAAAATTAAGTTGCTAAGACCTATTACACAGGTCTGCACTTTCTTTCTTTCTGTTGCAATTAAATGTGTATTAAGAACATAAATGTGAACAGCATGAAAGCCTGGAGACTAGTTCTAACACATCTCTTTGTGGATCATGCAGTTGTATGTTAGTGTAGATGCTGCAACCAAGGATAGCTTGAAAGCAATTGATAGACCTCTGTTTGGGGACTTTTGGGAGAGATTTGTCGTAAGTAACTCTCTTAAAACAGGCACAATTATCTCATTTACAGTTGTCTTACTATGATGAATTCTGGTCTGGCCTTTTAGACTGCGAAGACACTATTTGGGATTTACATTTTCCACTTAACACTTAACTAGAAGTGGTAATTATTCCACGTAACACTCCCATCCTGGAACTATCTCGTTAACGTTCGATATCTGTTTCTTATATAGGATACTTGTATATGCAAATATATGAATAACATTAGTAGTTTCATATATCCATTAATGTAAACATTTGAAGAAAACTTTTTAGATTTTTTAAAAATCATAAATGGATCTACGGTTTAAGGCCCACACATGCTGGGTTTCGAATAATTACGGATATTGAGATTTGACCCACACCCATCGCCCTGTCTGCTTGAAACAAAAAGCGGAGGTTCTTTCGGATAGTAGTTATTGATAGTTAATTTTTTCTGTATAATGAAGTAAAAGTACAAAAAGATTCCGTTCACAAATTTTTGCTTTATACAATATGGTTTCAGCCTTTTGTCTTTATTTTGATTTATGTTGGTATCACACGAGTCAAAATGATTTAGAATAATAACCTTGCCTATCACGTGATTCTTCAGATGATAGATTTTGCAGCTTCTATTTCATAATCCACGTCATGTAATCAACCATTATTTTTTTTCCTTGCTGTGTGCACACACTCTTTTTGCAATAAGGAATATCTGTCTAGTATGTTTGTTCTCCCAACATTACTTGAAAGTTGCTATATGTCCATGGTTATAGATCGTCAAGTCATATTTATAGGCAATGGGCCTTATATTTATAATATTCTTACTTTGCTACGTTTTACTTTATTCAATCGTATTTTGGTTGGCCTAGCATGTCTAAGTTGAGGTACTTAATCAGGACTCTTTGAAAGCCCTAAAAGATAAACAACAGCGAACTGTCTATCGCTTGACATTGGTCAAAGGATGGAATACAGAAGATCTAGATGCCTATTCCAGCTTATTCGATGTCGGAGTTCCTGATTTTATCGAAATCAAAGGTGTTACATACTGTGGATCGTAAGATTTCTTGCCTGCTATTCATCTTTCATGTGTCTTTTCTTTTCTGTTTTCTAAATTTGTGATGCACTGGTTAAACCATGGTTAACTCTGTCACAGGTCAGCAACTTCAAAATTAACCATGGAGAATGTACCATGGCATGCTGATGTAAAAGAATTTTCCGAAGCGTTGGCTCAGAAGAGCAATGGGGCTTATGAGGTTGCTTGTGAGCACGTACACTCATGCTGTGTTCTTCTGGCTAAAGTTGAGAAATTTAAAGTCGATGGTGAATGGTATACATGGATAGACTATGACAAGTTCCATGACCTGGTTTGTGATTTTCCTCTCTTCTTTTTTCCTTTTAATGTTATTTAACGTCAATGTAGTTAAAATCGAGATCTAAATCGTAAAATCGTAAGACTTTAAGATTTTAGACACTGAAAGGGAGTAAGATCGCACTAAAATCGCAGGTGCCTTAAAATCGTGAGAAATCGCTTCAAAATCGTTAAAATCGTTAAAAACGCGATTTTAGTGCGATTTTGGCGATTTTGGTTTTTGTCAACAATTGGGCCGAAATTTTGGATTTTGGCCTCAGAAATTCAGTTTTTTAACTAAAATTTTTTAGCCGATTACCAAATAATCCAAAATATATAAAGCCCAGCCCTGCCCTAAAATAACAATCTATCACGACGAGAAGAAAATACTTCTCTTCTGCTAAAAAAACATCCAGCGGTTGTGAGTGTCCAGTTTCAGTTATCTTATGTTAGAATATGTTTAATTAATGTTGGAATGTTTTATATTCTTTAGGACATTTTATGTATATTATGACTTATTTTATTTGTGTTACGGGTGTTTTCTAAGTAGTAAGTACTAAATATATTTATTTTACAATACATGTAAAATCTTACGATTTTACGATCCGATTTTACGTTTCCGATTTTACTACCCCTCTCCGATTTCACTTAAAATCTCGATTTTGACTACCTTGTTTAACGTTACTCGTCGTTTGTTGATTTTATTTTATTTTTCGATTTTGAAACTGAAGGTGGAAGCTGGAGAACCTTTTACGAGTAAGGACTACATGGCTCGTACACCATCATGGGCAGTGTATGGAGCAGAAGAAGGTGGATTCGATCCACAGCAATCTCGTTTTAGAAAAGAGCGTCGTCATCCTAATAAAACTGCAAACTGAGCAGGTGTGTTTTTTTTAATTTTGCCTAGATGAGATATTTTTTTAATGGCTCAAGTGGCTAAAACCATTTTATCTTATACGCGAGATTTTGCTATTTTATCTACTAGGCATAGTTGTTGGTGCTTAATTTTTCTTCTCTTTACCTGTTGACCCCGAAGGAATTTTGTTATTTTTATATGTTGCTGTATATTGGTATTTCTATGTTATATCTACTTGGAAAACCATGAATTATGTATCGGCTATTTCTGCTCCTTTTCAGAAGGACAGTTTCGAACTTATATAGAAAAATGATGCTTAGTATAATCGAATATGCAACACTTGTCTGTTTATTTTTATGTTTTAGATGAGGTGATAAGAGAGAGTTAATGTTTGAGATGGTTGAAATAGTGAACTCATACTTTTTTGTATCAGTACTTATTTTTCATATTTATTAAATATTTGATTACTAGTGTGGTTTTTTTAGAAGAGTAAAAAGCAGTTTACCCCCTAAACTATGGGCCGATTTGCACTAAACCAACCAAACAAAAAAAAAATTTGCACGATATTACCTGAACTCGTTAATCCGTTGCACGGTGCCCCCT